TTCGTGAGAATCTTCTGAAGTGTTAACATTCAATCAACACAAAACTTCGAGGTTTTTTAAATAATTCTAGCTTAGTTTAAAGAAGCAATCATTCAGTTAGACGTATGATGTAGTCAAGATGTTATTGATCGCGTTTCTACGTTACACCACAGGCTCAAGTTAAGGAAATCGATGGAGAGAATTCTAGGCACAGCATTTATATATTTTTTTCTCTGTATTATTTTCAACGTAATTATGCAACATTTCGTTCGAGTGTTAGAATTTTACAGCTTTTACATCTTTAATTTTATTCATTCATGCATTTGTCTGTCTCTCCTTTTAACCTTCTATCTATCAGTCTGTCTGCCCTAACGTCTATCTACGAAGAAGTTTGTCTGTATCTATTATCAGTCCTGTTTTAAATTAAGTAAGTAAAATAGAATTATCTCTACACAAAAAGCTAATATTATTTGCTAAGGTAAGTGCCACCTAGTAATTATGTTGCTTAAGGACAAACAGATGTTCGAAAATGTTACTTTACGTTCAGTATAATTACTGCACAGTAAATGATAACCATGCATAAGTCAGGTAATTGATTTTCATATCAACCATATCCGTTTCTAGAGACTTAAAAGCCAATTAAATTATGATACACAAAATTTAATACTTGATAGTTCTCCGAAGTAAAGAATTAATAAAATACTACATTATCAAGTACGAAGGAAAGTTGATTGATGAATTCGCTCTTATCTTGCTCCTTGCCTTAAGTCAAAATTTGATAAACACCCATTAATGATAAGCGTCTTCAGTTTATTTCTTTAATAAAAACACCTGCACAACACATACACACACACATATATAATCTTTAAGCTGTAAAATATACGTTATGCTAATTTTTTCAGAGTTTCGTAAGCAGGCCTTATGCCTTGGATTTGGTACAACGATCAGATTGATTTACTTTGAGTCAAGTGTGATATATGTTTCTAGCATGGACACCTCAAAGACACTCTGGCTCTATCTGATATGTCTCTAGTACTTCTGAAGATGTGATGAACTGCAACATATGTTAATATTTTTTCTTTGCTGTAAATAATACTTTTTTATTTCTTGCTTTACATCATCTGTTTCTTATGTTTTCAAATTGTTCTCAACATTCCAAAGTTCTCAGTGAATGTTATAAAGAAATCAACCAGAGTTTCATTGTAAGATGCTATTATGGATACAGACATTTTCTTAACTCGAACGTTTCTACCGAAACATTAACCATGGCTTTTCTCATCTAAATATAATTTTTCATTAATAGTTTTTCATTGAAACTGAAAATCACCACTGTTTTATTATTATTAAAGAACCCCAATAACCTGAATTCCTTCGGATGATGTACTCTTTTTCTTCAGGGACAAATAAATGGAATTCATCTCTCAAGAGGGCCTAACTTTCCAAAGCGTTCGGATTATCAGGTTTCTTAAAATATTGTGGATTTCCTTTTAAAATTCTACATATTTTCTAAACATCATGGATATGTATATTACTAAATATTTCCAGTTTAGTTTATTTAAATGAGAAAATGCATAAAAACGCAAGAAACGAAGGAAAATCGTATTTGTTGTTATTTTAGCTGGCAGTTTAGAAAATAAAATATCAGGAAAAATAATAACACAGTATATAACGATCTGTGTAACTGTTCCATTTTTTAGCGCAAAGCTACATAATGGATTATATGCGCTGTGCCTACCGCAGGTATCCAAACCCGATACTTATCGTTAAAAGCACTCAATCTTACCATTGAGCCACCAGGGAACAGTTGCCATGGTAATACAAGGTAGGGGAATCAGTTGCAAACAGAATGGTTATCTTGGTTTAATATGGCGTTCTCGGATATTTTAGACTCGTACAAACATTGTTTTAAACAATATCTTTAAACTTGTATTAATAATCTTGTTCTTCCAGGGAATTACCTGTTAACGGACAAATAATTTCACTCTACTCACAATAATATCCACATTGTAAAATAAGGTTTGAATTAAAAAACAAAATCATATAAAATATTTCTTTATTTGGAATATTTGAAATTATTTTACTTGGTTGTTTTATTAGCCTCCCGGGAAAGGTTGAAGGGAATATTTTGGTTCCTTTTAAGCGAAGATTGAGAAAATAATATCTCACATTCTGATATGCTCTCTAAAAACGTTTTTATGTTTAATCATGTGCTCATTTTAACCTGTATAACTGTGATATTTCAGACATACTGACGTTAATCACCTTCTTATGAAGGCTCAAAACGTTGATAAGAAAATCGCCAGCAATCAAGCATAGCACATTAGTATATGTCTAACTTTCTCTATTCGTCTATCTATCTATGTATTTTTTCTTTGCTATAAATAATACTTTTTTTTTATTTCTTGCCTTAAATCATCTGCTTTTTTTATCTTCGAATTATCGACATTCCAAGGTTCTCGGTGAATGTTATGAAAAAATCAACCAGCATAAGAATTTACAGGGAGTTTCGTTGGTAGACGTTACTGTTGATAGACTTTTATTGCATTAGCTTTAATTACAGAATACGCTAAATTAATTTGTCAGTTCAGTCAATAATAGTAAACCAAGTAAATATAATTCAATACGTGACGCGATTTTATGTATATAATTACAAATACATATATAATGATACAAATTCGTTTCACATCAAAAATAAACATTTGGTCTTCCAGTGGCACAGCCGAATGTCTCCGGACTTACAACGCTATAAACTGGGTTTCGATACCCGTGGTGGGAAAAGCACAGATAGCCCATCGTGTAGCTTTGTGCTTAACAATAAAAATAAACACATTTTTCTAGATTAGTGTTTTTCCTAAAAGGTATCCAAGTTTCTTTTCCTTTTGTATTAAATATGTTCTTATACTATTTTATGCTTGAGTTTGAAATTACATTTTCGGTAACATTTATTCAACATTTAACTCTGCACCTGAAACGATAGATGGGAGGATGAGTGGATGGATGGACAGACACACAGACATATAGATGGATTTATATTCATTTATAAACTGGTCTAAAAAATATAAGCCCCCCCCCCCCAGTGGCACAGCGGTATGTCTGCGGACTTACAATGCTAGAATCCGGGTTTCGATACCCGTGGATGGCAGAGCACAGATAGCCCATTGTGTAGCTTTGTGCTTAATTACAAAACAAACAAAGACAATAGTTTTAAAGTTTTCAATTTATTTATTAAATTATTTTAGATATTGTATTTCAAATAGTTAAAAAGCCAGAAACAAATGATTCATGCTATTTTGAAAGTAAATTTGTAAATTAAAGTTTTCTGTCGTAAGTATTAACTATACCTCTTAAGTATCCACCTTTTATAGCAATTTCTCTTTTGTTTCATGGTTTCGGAGTCTAAATTCAAAAGTACTTAGTTTGTCATTTACAACGAAACATTAAGATACATCATACTGAAGAAGATTCAATAAAATTATTTGAATAATAATTGTATATTTGTCAGCATCAGAGAAAGCCAGACAACTTTTGTTTCTGTTGGTTTTTTTATACATAAGATAGAGGGGACAATGTTTTTATAGCAAAGATGTAATTTCTCCAAGAAGTCCTACATGAAAGATAATGTTATTAAATGTATACTAAAAGAGTACTTCAGCCGTTTAGAAGTCTTCAACAAAAGTTTAAGTTGTAATATTTATGCCAAGCTGTATCTCACAAATGGTTGCGTTTACATAAAGAAGTGTTAAAACTTGATTGTAAGTCTTTTCCTAGGCAGTATGTATTCTTAGTTCAGGTAAAGTTATACCTTGTGCAAAACTAGTATATGTTCAACCCTCATGTCATTACGGGAAACGCGAGAGGTGTCAGAAAGAGCTTGCTTTGTTGTGGATTAGAAGTTTGATTCAAGCTTAACACTGTATTATTACCCTTGAAAAATAAGTAAATAAATAAATTTAAACAACACAGAGCCTGTTATCGTTAAAATAATAGAAAAGTAAGGCTATACAAACATCAATAGGCGATGAAGAAGCAGTTACATAGTACACATCAATAACAAACCTTTAAACAAGGTCGTCCGGGAGTTCCACATGCTTAAAATCTATAACACGACTTATGAAAAAGTTACACATTTCCTTCATTACTCAGAATATGAAGAAACTATAATACTAATTCATGGAAACAGTAACCTAAAACGCTAACGTATTCCTTGCTTAAAATATTGACTTATAACAGAGAATGATAAAAAATATGCCGTTCTGGTAACGAATGCACGCTACTTCTCGAATACGATTTTCTATTATTTTTGCAGTCAGTATATAATTACCAAAAAAAAAAGATAAATTTCCATATTTGTTTTGAAAGTCAGTTACGTCGCATTTTTTTCATCAAACACGTGACAGCTTTTTTACATAAGTCTAAACAGCTTTTCACGAATAAAAAACAGAAAAGCAAATAGACAGATTACTGGGGAGTAATAGTTATCGGATAAAGATAGAAAATCCGATAGACAGACAAATGGCTATAGAATTAATAGATGGATAACTAAATAGAAGAAGACAGATGGATGAATAACGAAAAAAAAATAGATTCCAGACAAACGTTCGTGGTAATAACATCTCAGGAGTGGGCAGAATTAACATTTTTAGTAATAACACATTAATAGATCACATTCAATAATAGTCCCATAATAAGGCCATAAGGTTGCGATTACTCTACAATATTTCACAATTTAATGTACTTAAATAACATTTCATTAGTTATTATAATTAATTCTATAAGACTATGAGACTGTATTAATTGTTTATATCAGATTTTTGAACGGAATAAATTTATCGAAACTTATCGTTTCCTGTTAATATTTAAAAAAAAAAATATTATCACGACTGTTGCACATATCCAATGAGACTCTGCCCTGCCTTAATGTAATCCACGTGGAATATTTCAGTTTCCATTGGTTGCCTCGTAGTAACACAATAAACCTTGTCTAGAAGATTGAAGGAAACGAAATATACAAAACACCTCACCTTTCTAGTCTAACTACTTCTCCTATGTTGAACGTAGTGATTTTCTATTATGCACTGAGTATTTCTTCACCGCTCCACGGCTTCTCTCTCAATACATACGGGTCTTCAGTACTGCAGTCTGTGCTCACACACTATTATCGTGATACGGGAGGAGAATAAAACTCAAGCAAGGTTATGTTCTCTTTCTGTCCCTTAACAACAGCTCATGCTCTCTGATAAGTCCAGCTTTAGTGGCGCTCTACCACTGAAGCAAACTTAAATACTACTTTTCCATCCTTCGACTGTATCCGCCATTTCCCTTCGTGAGAAAGAATAGTTGATAGAGAGTACCACCAGAAGCGCTTCTGTTCAGCTTCATCATTTGGTAGCTGACTTATAAGATCCTCAACATTTAACAGCGACTGCTCTTCGTTAGCCTTTGCTGGCTTATGGGATGGATGGTTATCGGTTGTCATAAGTTGAGAATGTTACGTAAGGATATTTATCAACTTTCACTTGTAATGTTATATATTGACATTTACTAACTTTCTCTTGTAATGTTATCTAATAATATTTATGAATTTTCACTTGTAATATCACATAATGATACTTGCCTTGTAAAATTATACGTGAAACATGACATAACTATTTGAAATATACGTTTGTAAATTCGAATTCAAGGGGTTTTAATCACATGTTAATAGTAGTTTCTTTCTATTTATTTAAATAACTGTTAAACTAGTTATTTCTTTCTAAAATTGTAATTATACTTACATATTAATTACAAGATCATAAAATTTAGAATATTCCTGATATAATACACATAATGTTGAGTGAAGGGTGTAATAAATTTCTAAACCCGAAAAAACTAATTTGGAAAGTAAAGGTTATTTTTATTGAAATTTTAAATATATTTTAATGTGTGTATGTGTTTTGTTATAGCAAACTCACATAGAGCTATCTGCTGTGTCCACCGAGAGGAATCGAGCCTCTGATTTTATCATTGTAATTTCAAAGACTTAACGCTATCCCATCGGGGGATATTTTTAATGTAAAAGTTTAACAAAACAATTTTCACATTCTTAAACGGAAAATACGATATAATCTAGAGATTTGAGACACGTACATTTTTCATTATTTTTAGTGGAAGTTAGGAAGGAATTTGTTCTTCATCTCAGTATCTTTTAAATCAAAATATTATTTTTGTCGATTTTTCTAGAGTTTTACCTATATTCTTGCAACTACAGAAACCGTGAACTCAATTTAAACGATACTGAAGTAACATAAGTATAACAACGATACTATATATATATATATCATTTTGAACATTTACCCCTTACATACCCCCATCCTCAGTACAGATAATTTGGTATTAAACCAGTTTAAGAAAGAAACATCAAATTTCACAGCACAAGTAAGTCCAATAATCTGAACGGTTTCGAGTTTCGTTAAATATGATTGACTCAGTTTTACAATTCAAGATACATTACAAGATCTATTTGCTTACGTACATTGAAAATGCCCCTTGTTTCCATAACTTTGTAATGTTCGTCAATTATCCAGATTAACAATCTGTCTGTACTTTTTATTCAGTAGTTGATTTTGCTATGTAGCAAAAAAATCTATTTACCTGTCGAGCAATATACCCATTTGTTGTCTACAAGTCAGTGAATCTCTCACCCTAGAACTTCATCTTTATATCTAGCGCTCTATATATCTTTCTGTTTAACACTCTGTCTGTTTGTCTTTATCCTTACCAGTCTGTCTATTTACAAAGTATTTATACTATAGCAGAATGTATGTTAGTTTTTATCTAGAAAACTATTTATTTAACATTATATGCCTATCTGTCCATCTATTTTTTATTAACCAGTCTGCTTAGCTTTGTATTAATTAGTCTGTCAGTATTCGCATCTTTTGATCTTGCAGTCTGTCTGTATCAGGTAAAGAATTTAGCACTTTAAAACCTTCTTTCCGTTCCCACCAATCAGAACAAAGAAATTCCTCAAAAGAACTATTTTTCTCTTAGTTAAAAGTGATTAAAATTCAGCAGGGTTTAAGACGGACATCCTTCGAATAATATCATATAATTTTTTAATCTATGGATTGCCCAAAGAAATCCACAAAACATTTAAACTAAACTTTAATAACTATAAGTATGTAGGTAAATTACATATATATTTGATTTCTGCCTCACTACTCATAATACGGACTTAAAATGTTAAAACATAGAATACCACGAAAATAGAATAATAATGAATATAATGAAGTCACTATAGTCTTAACAAGAGAACTAAAATCTTGTTAAGTCCATCTAAAGGTGTGTGCTGTGATTAGAATGTAATTAATTGTTTTAGAATAATGTTAAGGGAAGTAATAAACAAGTATGTGCATGATTTGATGCTATAAGTGTAACTTATAAAAACATGTGTTTTCGTATAACTCTATGCGTGGCTTAGACTCTTATTTGAAGTACAAGGATAGTAATATAATGTTGTGCCCTGTAAAAGTAACTCGCCACTTTAAACAATATTTAATCAAAAAAAGATTTCCACTTGTAGATGTGAAATATTTTAATCTTATTTATGTATTACACATCTATGACTGAAAATGAAAGAGGGAAACAGATTTGGATGCAGCAAACTTCCTTTCCAGTAAATGGGAGCATTTTGATAAAGCCTCTGATTATTGGTTTGATAAATCATCAAGTTAATAAAATCTAAATACATAGACTTGAATTATTTTTTTAAAAAATCCGTTAGAAATATTCTTGTGCGTCATTTTTAAAAATAAGAAAAACTGGAAAATAATCAGAAATCCTTACACCATGTGTTTCATTCTTGAGAAAAATACTCTTTTTCTAGTCTGGCACACGTATTTTAAGTTACTAACCGCTTATGGTCAAGCTAAAGAAAACGAGACCATTTTCTGAAAATGGGAAAAGTATTATATTCAGATTTCCATATTTTAAAACCATATAATGCAAACGAAATAGGAAACATTTCATATATATAAGTTCATATATTTAAAAAGCAAAAACTCCAAATTACTCTTAAAATTACTTTTAACTGTTGATGTGTTCGAAGGAAAACGAAGTTTGATAATAAACAAAATTACGACACTTATGATATACAACATTGTTTATTG